TATATATATATAAATATACTTTAAGTATTTCAATAAATTTGGTGCAAAGTACTTTCTGATTATGTTGCATCCCATTCATTTATTTCTGAAGAATTTTATTCTGATTTATATGTTGAGACCGTATGTTTTACAGTTGCCTTCTGTTTTATGATGCCGATAAGGGATAGTTTGCATGCTAGTAGAATGTGTTTTATGAATCTGGATATTCATGGTCACAAATTTTCAACAATATTGATTTTAGTGCATATTAAAACTTTTGATATCATTTTGGGAATGGATTGGCTAGTTAAACATTTTGCTACAATTGAATGTTAGAAGAAAAGAATAAAGTTTAGTTTGCCAAATGAGCAGATCTACTTTTCCTGTGAGAAGAATGCAACATCCTTTCTTATTAACACAATGAAGGTGAGTAAAAATCTCATGAAGGGTGAGTTGGTGTTCTTAGCCAAAATAGAAGGTTCAATAAAGACGTTCAATCATTATAGAATGTTCCAATTGTTTCAAAATTTTCAGATGTATTTCCTAAATAATTACATAGATTACCATCGAAAAGAGAAGTTCGCTTTGGCATCAAATTGCAACACAGAACATCAGTAATCTACAAATCCCCCCTATAGAATGGCTCCAAAGGAATTGCATGAGTTGAAAGCTCAATTGCATGAATTGATGGATAAGGGGTTTATCAGAGCAAATAACTCACTCTGAAGTGCCCTGTAACTTTTGTTAAGAAGAAAGATGAATCCATGCGAATGTATATTGACTATAGAGAGCTGAACAAAGTGACAATCAAGAACAAACATCCACTCCTTTGCATAGGACTTGTTTGATCGGTTGGCAAGTGCCACAGTATTTTTCAGAATTGATTTAAGATCAGGACATCATCAAGTGAGGGTGCAAGAAGCACATGTAAGTAAGACAACTTTCAAGACCAGATATGGCCATTTTGAATTTGTAGTAATGTCTTTTGGGTTAACAAATGCTCATGCTATTTTTATGGATATATATGATATGATGAATCGAGTTTTTAAGGAGTATATAGATCAATTTGTGATTATTTTTATAGATGATATTCTGGTATACTCAAGTATTGATGATGAACATGCTTAGCATTTAAGATAGTTTTGAACACTTTGAGGAAAAATCAATTGTATACAAAATATTTCAAATGTGAATTTTGACTTAGGAGTATTGCCTTTTTGAAGTATATCATTACTGGTGAAGGAATTTAAGTATATCCATATAAGGTGAAAGCAATTTTGGAATGGCCTACACCAAAGAGTGTTAAAGAGGTTCATAGCTTCTTGGGATTGGCTAGATACTACAGGAGGTTTGTTAAATAATTATCACAAATTGTTATGCCATTGCCAAGCTTATGAGGAAGGATATTAAATTTGAATGGACTACTGAATATGAGAAAAGCTTTCAGGCATTGAAAATGCATCTGATTACAACACTAGTATTGACACTTATCTCAGGAACATAAGGATTTCAAATTTACATTGATGTTTCCTTAAGGGTTTAAGATGTGTTCTAATACAGCACGGAAAAGTAATTGCATATGCATCAAGAAAGTTAAAGCCACATGAACGAAATTATCCTACTCATGATCTAGAGCTGGCTGCAATGGTATTTGCGTGGAAGATTTGAAGGCATTACCTGTATAGAATAAGATGTGAAATCTTTATTGATCACCAAAGCTTAAAATATATATTTTCTAAGAAAGAATAAAATCGGAGATAGAGATGATGATCGGAGCTAATTAAAAACTATGATGTGGATATTCAATATTATCATGAAAAAGCCAATATTGTGGGTGATGCTTTAAGTCGCAAATCCACAGGAATGATGAATTGAATGATTACTCAAGATATTAAGTTGATCAAAGAAAAGGAGAATCTATAATTGGAGATTAGAGATTTTAAGATGTGAAATACTTATATCAGATAACAGTAACCCCAACCTTAATAGATCGTATTAAGAAAGCTTAAAAAGTTGATAGCAAGTATCCAAATATAATAAAATAGGTTCAAGCAGGAAAAAGAACATGCCTTTCTGTTGATGTTGATAAAATCATTAAGCATAAATTCCAATTGTGCGTACCCAGTGATTCGAACTTAAAAAAAAAA